GGGGAGGGGGGGATGGGGATTGGGGAGGGGAGGGGGAGACCTAAAAAAATTTATAAATACCCCCTTTTTTCATAAAATATCACACTCAAAATTTCAATTCTGAAATACTCAATCCATTATCCATCTCTCATTCTCTTAAATCTCAATCTATCATTCTTAATTTCTTAATTCTTATCAATCATTCTTAATTACTTAATTTTTATCTATCTTTTTTAAATATATTATATTTTAATATATAAAATTTCAAAATTATTTGAAAAGTTCGAAATTTAATATATCTTTAATATAAAAATATATATAATTTATATTTTAAATATATTCTCTATTATTTATTGAAATTTTCGAAATTTTAATATATAAAATTTCGAAATTTTTTTAATTTTTCCAAAAGTAACATATTATTTTAATATCAAAAAAATATATATTAAAATGTCGAGGGAGTCCGGTATGCAAACCCAAGAAGTGCAAACCTAAGGTCGAGGCATCCCGTGGAGTACGCCAAATACGAGGCCAAAAAAAAGGGACGACAAGAAGTGCAAACCCAAATTTCTCGGTTTGCTAACAAAGGTAAGGGCGGCCTTTTTGCTTATAGGGACGAGCAAAATAAGCAAAAAATGGCCGAAATGATTTGTGAAAAAAATTTGCCATACATGTTTTCTGAAAAACTTGGTTTTATTGATTATTGTCAACAGGCATTAAACCCTCAAGCACGAGGTTTTTCAAGAAAAACAATTAAACGAGAAATTATTCGCCAATATAAAATGGAAAAAATTAATTTGGCAAATTTTTTTCTCAATTTTAATTCTCGTGTTGCTATTTGTTCTGATATTTGGGGTGAAACTTATCATAATTTGTCTTATATGGGTGTTACTTGTCATTGGATAGATAGTGATTGGATTATGCATAAACGTGTTCTTGCATTTCGTGATTTCAATGATCAACATACTGCTGAAAATATTTTTCTATTGCTTCAGAGTATTCTGCGGGAATATAAATTATCTGAAAAAGTTTTTTCATTTAGTTTTGATAATGCTACTAATAATAATACTACTCCTATTTCTAGACTTAGAGAAATTTGCCCACCGTCTACGACTATGGGTAGATTTCTGCATCAACGGTGTGCCTGTCATGTTTTAAATTTATGTGTTCAACAGGGACTACAAGCTATGGGCGGAGTTTTGACAAATATTAAAGAAGGAATTAAAAAAATTTGGGGGGCTCGTCTTATTTCGAGATCCTGGAAGATGTTCTGTAAGTCTAAGGGTAAAAAAGAAATAAGTTTTGCCAGAGATAT